CATTACTTTTCGAGGCAGACGGCTTTTAATGAGAATTGCCTTTGTGATTTGTGGACTATGAAGAGAAAAGTTAGTCAATTTCAGCCATTAAAAAGTGTCACAATTTGTGTAATGGGTAGCAAGTGCAGAGATATAGGCCCAATGCAGAATCTCAGTTCACAAGAAAATGTACAAGTACATGGTATTTACCTTGAATGTAAACCCAAGTTCAATATTTGAATTAAAAAAATAACAAAAAACTTTGGAGGCCTAAGGCATGAAGAATCTTTGACTGCTAATTCATGAAGAAAGATAACACTGTTTAGATATTCCCATTGGTGAAGTAATGTTAATATAAGGAAAGCCTCATCAGTACTGTATAAAGCAAGGCAGATAATAAGCAGCTGAAACTAACAAATGTCTGTAATATTTCACCTTTTGATCCATAGTTGCTGCAGGTGATACATTTCATGTTGTTTTCCTGAAAACTGTTTATGTTCAAAATCTCTACCAACAATTGTATTCACGTATATTCATCTTTCACAGCTAATTTTGTTGAGAATTTCCTAGTGGAAAACAAAACAAAACAAAAAAAAGAATAGTGGTGGGAAAGAAGAGAAAGCTTGAGTAAGAGAGAGAGAGAGGATGCAAACAATGGATTTGTAACATAAGAGAAGATAGAGTTCAATGGAGTTCCTAAGGCCATCTCCATGGATCAACCCAGCTAAAGGAAAGCTTGTTGCCCTTGTGACTGCTATAGCATTGAAACAATCAAGATGTTACATGTAAATACACATGTAGAAAAATAAATCAATCTGTTTAAGTTCTTCCTCTTTTAATGTCTTTCCAATAGTTTTTCTTCCTAAAAAAATAGATATTTTTTTATCTCACACAATTCCATACAATGTGTTACATCACTGTGACTGAATAAATTCTTATACGTTTTATAATGGAGAGTAGAAAAGAGATATTCACATTCAAACAGAACATGGGCATATGTACATAGTTGACCATATAATTTTTTTGAAAGATATTAAATAAAAAGTGAAAAAAATACAGCTAAATACACAAAAGAAATATGTGATCAATATTCCACCAAATAAACACAACTTGTTAACAATCAGTTTCTAGATCCTCTTGTTGACAGACTTCATAGCTCCTACTCCATCAGTTGACTTCCTGGTCTGACAATCCAAAGTCATGAACTACACTACCAAGATTTGTAAAACTCTCATGTGCACTTCAATTCTCCACACTGACCACATTCACAACACTGGCTGGAAATTGTTCAAAGCTAAGGTATATCTACATGTCAATAATCCATGGCTCTGTACACTTATGGCCTGCCACTCCAAAATCCTCTAGCTCAGGGTTACAAGGTACCTAGGTGATATGATGGCCACAAGGAGGCACTGCACAGCTCTTGATGACAGAAAGGCTATGTACTGACTAAGGCTTTACACATAGGTACTCCCTTTTTTTTTACATAAACTAGCCAGCAGTGTCAGCTGTAAAAGAGAAGGCATAAAATTAACACATATAAATCACATAAAACAAAGAATTTAAAAAAAAAAATAGCTAACATTAATCAGAATCTAAATTAAAAAAAAACAGCATGACAGATGAGGCAAGTACAAGCTAAAGAAAAAAAGAGAAAAGTATCAAAATGCCCAAAGTGTGAAGAATATAGTAGGACGGGAAAGAAAATTTAAGATAAAGAAACTATAAATGACAAAGAATAAACTCTTTCCAGCACACACACAGCAGCCATTCAATATAATAACAACAATAATAAGAGTAAAAATACAATAATACAATAATAATAATCATTATTATCATTATCATTGTCGTTACTATTATAAAAATAATAATAATAGTAATCATGATTATAATAATAATAATCATGATTATAATAATAATAATCATGATTATAATAATAATAATCATGATTATAATAATAATAATCATGATTATAATAATAATAATAATAATAATAATAATAATAATAATAATAATGATAATAATAATAATCATGATTATAATAATAATAATAATAATAATAATAACAATAATAATAATAATAATAATAATAATAATAATAATAATAATAATAATAATAATAATAATAATAATAATAATAATAACAATATCAATATCAATAATGATTATAATAATAAGAAGAATGATAAAAATTGTAAGATAATGAAAATGGTGATGAAAATTATAATAAGAACATTAACATAACAGACAAAATAAGAAATGATGCATAGTAATCAAATAAGCAAAAACATGTAAGGCACTGACAACATAAATTATGTAATTAATCCAGGTATATGAAACATACCATATTTTACTTTAATATATCTATTTGCTATGGCATTATCAGTGGTGTCCTACTTAGCTGAATTAAATCATTAAATCATCGTTTACATTTCTAATTTGTTTTTTACTGATCTTTTAGAATCACTTATGCCCTAAGAATCCTGGTCATAAATCAAAATTTTGGTGAAATTTTGCTGGATAGAAGTTCAGTCAAAAAGTGTCATTCATTAACGTTTCAGATCTGATGCTGCTGTAATGAAAAAGTAAAAACCTGTTTCCAGAAGCAGACATTTTACATAATGAATTCTGAGTCTAAGAAATAAAGGTAAAGAGCAAATGCATGTTAAGAATCAGAATACAATATTTGCAAGATTCAACTAACCGAATTCGAAGTGCAGAACCACTTAAATATATTTGTAATGATACCAGACAAAAGAGCACATTTATCCTATAAATTGTTGTTTGCTCTTTTGATCTGAACCTTCTTCAGTAAGCTGATGATGCAAAAAAAAAAAAAAAAATTAATCTGTAAATTCTTAGCCTATTTGTCTATTCAGTTAAGCCTATCTTTATGTGTTAGTATATGGCTTAAAGTACTATTTCTTATATTAATTGTGTGTAACAAGAGATCACAATTATTTTCTGTTTTTTTCATTATTACACGTGATCATAATCTAAAATACTAAATATATTATAACTAACATTTCAATAGTTATATATTACATACATATAAACAGATTAGGTAATCATGCATGAGCATAAATATCTGTATGAAACTAATACACCTATTACTAATAAAAACATAGGAGTATTACATATAAAATATTATGTCCATGATTTCCCCTGCAATACTGATAATAATGATTGCTAACATAAATAAAAGTAGGGATTGGATCTTACCAGCTGCCAAAAAAATTGCATCTCCTAAGGTAGAATATCAAGCTGGTTGTTTTTGCTGCCTATGATAGGTTTGTCTCTGCACTCCTAGATTCCTGAAGTGCACCAGCTTCACAAAGGAATCCCTGTAAATATATGAATCTACGAAAATAAGATTCTTGGTCATACAGCTACTGCATAAGCTTGCTTATACAGACTTATGCATTAGCCTACAAATATATGTTAGCCTTTTAATACAATGTTGTTAAAATATTACATACACCATAGATCTTCACTTTTACTATTTCTATCCCCTGTGAAGTAGATGGACTATCATATATTGCATGCTATGTGGCATTTTGAAATGCAAATTAAAATTATAAAATATATCAATTAATAGTTTTTTCAAACTATAATTCCTATTCACTTAATTCACAAATAATAAAACAAGAAAAAGTACCATATTTTCAATACATTCTCCAGAAGAGAAAGAGCTACTGGTAATCTGGATGCAGACTCTCAATCTATTCCAGAGAGAAAAAATTAAAAAGTAGTCTATACTATCCCAAAACACATCTGTAGTAACTCAGGTGTCATCACTACCTCCATGACTTTGGTGTTCCAGTACAGAACAACAAATCTATCCCATGCATATTATGGCAAGATTGTAAACTTCCCTGCCAATTGGTTGAAGTTGAGATTTCCCAGTTTATTTTCCTGGTGAAAAATGGGAGATACATAGCCGTAGTTTTAATTACGATATTTGTAACCATTCAAAGAAGATTTGGTATCTCAATACCATTATAATGTTCTTTAATGAGACCATTACTCTATTTTACTCTTATCTCTCAAGATAACAAAAATTACAAATAACTTAATAACTAGTATTTCAGTGATTTTAAAATTTTCTGATAAATAAAAATGAGGCTGTTCACTGACATCTGCTATGGGAAGTCAAAAAATATAACCCAACTTAAATGAAAAATACATAAAACAAAATGGGTAACAAAAGTAAATATATATGAATAATGCATCAAACTATTATAATTGTGAAAGATAGTAAAATTTAACTGCATATCTCCATGCCACAAATTTAAGTAAATAAATAATTTCCTGATATTGACAAGTTATAAAAAATGTCAAATTATTCTTACTGTGTGAAAGTACATGTCCCATAACACAAAGAATTATGGTCATGCTTCTTATTACTGTCATTTGTAAATGCTACAAATTAGAGGTGTAGAGTAAATTTATAATGCAGCTGATATGCATAATGTGGTAAATGTTTAGAAGATCCATATCCATCATTGCTTATATGTCAAACGCCTGTCTGTGCTCCAACAAAGGCCAAAATCAACCAAAACACTTATTATAATTAATAATTAACAAGTTCAAGCTTTGTCTTGCTATACACGTAGTGGAGATTTGTCCTATGCCAGAGCATGTAGGGCAGAGGCTATTATAGTTACTGCTAAAATTCTGTAACTACCAGTTGTAAAATTACTGCTCCCTCGCAACTTACGGCAAGTTACAAGCATGTTAACCAGGCTGCTCTATGTCCGTTTGGTTGCATTACCTTTCATACACCCTCAACTACATTTAAAGGAATAGCCCAGAGGGTAGTAGAATGTGGTTATTTTTGCTTCATTTGCAAAATAAATAATGTAAATAAACATCCCAAGGCATCATTTTGTAAATTGATTCACAACACTAGACTTTAGAGCCCATTTTATCTAGCATTTTTGCTCCTGATATCTGTCTGCTACAAAAGGTTGCAGGGTGTGACGTAGCACCATGTATATGGGTCAGGAGATCAGCTATAATTCTAGTAAACAAAGTGAACAGTTGACGTGCATTCATGTGGTATTGTGCATTTATTGTGACAAATTTCAATGTCTGGTGACAATTTTAGCCCGCAGGGGACTACCAACCGACAGAGGAAAGATGGAGGCATTCGATGTGCAGCGTGGGGATGCGGTAAATCCAAACTGAAAGACAATATTGGAGTGTTTGAGTTTCCAGATCGGGAGAGATCGACGGACCGCTTCCGATTTTGGTGTAGTTTGGTTAGCCGTACTCGGAAAGATTTTAGATTCAGTAAAGGGACGTCGCGGTTATGTGCCGATCATTTTGATTCCGATCAAATCGAAAATTGGATGCGCATAAAGTTAATGAAGGAGGAAGACCCAGTGGCAGCCAGAAAAATTCATTGGAGACTGATACCACACGCTAGGCCCAATCCATCCCTCTTCCCTCGGCCAGTGCATGGATCGACGCCCCAACCCAAACAGCCCCCGTCAATAGGCAATTCCGTCGAGCCAACTCGGAGGAGGCCTTGGCCTGGGGAAACTACTTCAGGGGACATGGAGATCACTAAACGTCCCAGAAGGGGTGCTGCTGCAATCAGAGAAAGGAAAAGGGTAAGGCCTAGGTTGTTTTATTGGCTGATTTAGAATTCGGAGGCCGAATTCGAAGTCCGTTCCTTTTTGGGTCCCAGGGCCTTGGGCATGCCGAATAGGGCATAGAAGGCCCCCTATTTATTTTTTAAAAGAAGGGGGCCTTCTATGCCGAATAGGGCATAGAAGGCCCCCTATTTATTTTTTAAAAGAAGTGAATGGTCATGATGGTGGCAGCCTGTATAGTGGCATCCTTATTATTATCGAAATATTGTTTGATGGGGAAGCACAACTCATGAGCTGTCTTGGGAATAGGAAAGAGAGGTTAGGCGTGCTTGGCATTGACCCCCCCCCCCCACCGCCTAGGCCATATGCTTATATATATGGCAATGCATGCTGCATATTATATATATTTTTTTTTTATCTTATTCTTTCAGCTTGTTGAAGATGCTCAGACAGACATGGCACAGAAAGACCTGGAAATGATGGCTCAACAAGATGCAATTTCAGACATGATGGATATTGATGTAAGAGAGGTCGCTGAGGGGCATGGCCAGGAGACTGGCAAATCCAAGGTAGGCAACATTGGTGTCATTCAATTCCTGGCATGAAATTTGAGTGGCGCTGCCATTACGTCTACTCATGGGAAAATTCAAATTTTAATAGTATAGGCCTGCCAAAGCCATGGAACAATGTAAGGGGTATCACCATGTCTCTTTTCAATTTTAAAACAAATCTTTTATTTTTCAGGTAACACACAGAGATATTCACATCCAAATGAACAGACGGCCAACTCATCGCTCTACCAGGGTTCAAGTCTGTCCAAAGACATTTTCCCAGGGTAAGTTTATCTTTTAAGATGAAATAACCAGTATGGACATTTGTTTTGTTCCTGGACTTCAATATAGAGGCACCGATATGACACAGAAATATCAGTATGTAAGAAAAGTCATATTACAGATAATCTTCGGCCACCAGAATACGTACTAGTACTAGTGATCTCCACTTTCAAAGACATACTAGTATTAGTACGTTTTCGAAAGGGCCTGAGGAAGGCCCTGGTGGCCGAAAATTGGTATCCTTTCACCAATTCTCCTCCTACTTCCAGCTCCCTATCTTCTAGTTCATCACCAGTAAGATCTATTGATTCTGTAGACACAGAATCCGCACTGACAACTATAGAAACTTTCTCGTGTGGCAAATGGGCAAAGCCCGAAAATTCGACTTGAAGCCCTCAGCGGTTCTTACAGTCTACCCTAACAATAAATGATATTAATACTACCATCAGAAAACAGCAGATCAAACAAAATGTTTATTAATTTGATAACGGCTGACATCCTACTCTGACGTAGTTCCCGTTAACTCACAACAAGGTCTAGCCCATGGTTCTAACCTTTCTTTTTACACTGCACACCGTAATGAAAAATAATCATTATAATTTATGGGAATAAATTATATGTATGGAAACAACTACACTAAATAGATTTAGAATTCTTGTATCACATACATCAGTATCGATTATTGACAAAATTAGTGTTTTACATTTGTTTAAATTCCAACATATTTTCTAACAATTTTTGATGTTGTAATCAGTGATTCTAATATACAATTGTACACTAATCAAATTTGTTTGTTCAAACACGATGAGAGAGATTAGATATAAATTATTGCCCATATTGGCGAAGACCACTACACGCTAATGACTTACAGGAGTTGCAAACTGTAAAAGGTAATGGTGCCGTGTATCAATGTGAGTATTTACAAAATATGTTTTTTTCTATTGGAAATGCTACATATTCAGGTGGAAAATTCTTATAGCATATGTAAATATATGTTTTATATTGAAAATCCCTCCCTCCCAGAATACTCTTGAATATTTTAGTAATTAACTGTGTTTGAATTCATTGCTAGTTCGAGCTATTGTAGATCGGTAATACTTCTAACGTCATCAAGGTTTTCCCGCGTTTTTCTGAATTCAGATTTTGTCCTTGATGGGGCGGAATATTCCTGATTCCCTAAGTATATGTTGTAAAAAGCAGTGTTGGATGCTGAGGGAGGGGGCGGGGATTGCAAAGCAAAAATTAATTCGCGAGTAACTTGTAACCATATGCGATTACAAATTACAAATTATATTAGTATATTTTGTTATTCTTATCATTTTAGCTGATAATTATGTATCAGCAAGACTCGTGTGTGCAACGTTTATTAAGATAATTAAGAAAAAATAAAGAACTTTCTCTCCTAATTTGTAAGAACCACAGGTTATGCATGCCAGCTGAAGGTTCCTTGTGGAATGGTTCTAACATTTCTAATTTTAAGAGCAGTGTTTTTGCTTGCAACAAATAAGTAAGGGAAAAAGTAAATGAAAAGGAAAAAATATTAAAAATAATTTGATGAGGATATAATAACTAATATATGTATTGTCATTATTATGATTTCATTTAATACTAGATGACTAAGATGTTCATAACCGAACGAGAAGGCATTGTGTAAGAATACGACCCCACTCTTTTTTGCCTAGAGAGCCCTGTGATAGAGAGCCCTGTGAAACGGATGAGCATATGCTGAGTTGAAGCCCTCGGCAATTCTTTCCAAAACTGTATTTCGCTTTCGCGTGTTTATTTGACGATAATCGGCGACGGTTAGAGGTATGCTATAGTTGTATACCATTTTTGGTTGGCGGAAATCCATATTCAGCCAACAATCTTGATTTGTTAAATAACTACCCCAATGGAGGAGGGTCCGAGAGCGGAGGCCCCGATAGGCAAATACCCCAATGGAGGGGGTCCGATAGGGGGTTAGGTAAGGTTGCTTGGTTACAACATTTTGTGTATAAACATGGCGTCACAACTTGATAATGATGTGCATTTACGTAGATTTTAATGAACGCGGGCAGGTCTTCCCGTAGACTTTCAACGTTGGCGGGCGTAGAGTTTCTTTAGCTGATTTTAACGACTTTCTTTTGCTATTTCAGGCATTATTGCATTATATTTATTATATTTAAGCCGGTTTTACCCCTTCATTTCCCCGATATACTACATGCCCTCCCCTGCTATCGGAACTTAACAAATCAAGATTGTTGGCTGAATGTGGTTTCCGCCAACCAAAAATGGTATACAACTATAGTATACGTGTGACCTGCACGGCGATGAAGCTTTTTAGAAATGATGAAACGAGACCTTAGAGTATTTATGTCGATGTTATATATAGTTACCCCGAGTTTTTCAATTTTCCGTTTTCTGTTATTTACTTTAGATCTTAGAAATTTGGAAATCCAAAATGATATTAAGTGGGACTTATGTGTATGCTCTACCTCCGTTTCATTTCTTTGCAAAGGCTGGACCCTCTGGCGAGCAGAGCAGTAGCCTCGTATCGATAGACGCCATAATTCGAGAGTATGGTAAGCAAACCAGAATTCTACAATGAAAAGTGATGAGTTGCTTGCTATTATAGTGAGCCATGGCTGGGAAAATACTCTTATTGATAGTGACAAACGGAAGTACTCTCTTATGAAGGAATATATAAGATATATAAAAAATAGAGAGTTAATTTTGAACACAAGTGGCAAGTAATACACAGCACTTACATTTTTCTTTCTTTCTTTCTTTTTTCTTTTCGTTTGGAAAAAAAAAATGACAGGTGACATTTGGTACCTGTTTCAGTGCTCGTTTTACAAAATGTCATTAAAGAATGAAATTACGTGACAGCTGTACCCTGAGACATTTCAGCAGTGGTTTCAGTTCATAAATTGCCGCCAACGCTTATTAATGTGAACGTACTCAGTTTGACATTGTGCCGCGATTGCACGATGACATGCGTGTGTGTCATTCGAGGAAACAAAAGTCTACATTACCAATGGCCTAAAGTTGTCTATAGATAGGTAAAACTTGTCGCTTGATTCTCTTTACGACACATAATTTGATGCGCATTTTACAGGTTTTTTTTTTCTTTATTTCTTTTCTACACTACATTGGGTTTCTACATATTACAAAATCGCAGCTCATATGAAATGCAAGCTTATAACTTTAAAGGGCCATTATAACTATGACTTGACCTATCTGAGACTACGTGAAATATATCTGAAATACATCGCGCTCTGATTGACAGGCCAGTGTATCAAACGAAAAGATGTTTCCGCTCGTTCCAATAATGTACAACATTCTACTTACGAACGTTCCATACATACAAACACATTTTTTAAAATACTATATATATATATATATATATATATATCGATTTACATATACATATATATGTGTATGTGTATATATGCATATGTATATATATGTATATATATATATATATATATATATATATATATATGTGTGTGTGTGTGTGTGTGTGTGTGTGTGTGTGTGTGTGTGTGTGTGTGTGTGTATAGACATGAATATATGTTTAAATATATATGTATATATAAATATATATACACATACATATACATGTGTGTATCTGTATATATACATATACATATATATATACTTATACATATATAAATATACAGATAGTCCCCTACTTAAGAACATTCTACTTACAAACATTCCATACATACGAACATTTTTTTTTAAATACGTAGTCAAAAAAAATTGTTTGAAAGATGCTAGCAAACTTCAAATTTCCCGGGCGCGAATATAGTTTACGAGTCTGCCAAGCGCTCACTCAGCTGTGCCATCACTCGCCTCAGTCGCTTGCCCTCCCGCTATAAACACGAAAGCGTCTGTTCACTGTGTTCTCGTGTACCGTCAATTTTTGTGCCATAATTCGCTTTACCTGTGCGTCAATTCATCAAAAATGTCGGGTGTGAAGAGAAAAATAAATGGTGAAGCCAGTGGAAGTGCC